ATTTCAGAACAAAAGCAGAGATCTTCTGACATCGTTTTGTTCACGATGCTGCCAAGTCAAATTACATTATGCCAAATTCAGGATTTCTTTTTAAATTGGAAAAAATAAAAACTATTAGCATCTTAGCTATCTTTTGAGCTAATTTAATTTCATTCAGTAACTTTTTGGCTACTTTTTAAATAAATTATTGATGACATTTCCTAAGACCTGACAACAGTATGAAGTGCAGAAGTGTGCACAGCTGTTAGCTTTTATATTCGGTTACAGACTAAGAAATTTAATGGGTAAGCATAAAAGTTCTGTGCATGAGCTTTTGCTTAAGTGAGTGAAGGGAGCAAAGTTAGCCGAGAGCGACTTCACAGTGGATGGCTCAAAAGTGTTCTGCCAGATATGTCAAAATACATTTGTGTGCATGAAGAAATCACATTTTGAGGATCATGTGCGTTCTGCAAGATACATGCAAGCAGCACATCAACAGGATCGAACATCCCAGATGCTGCTCACAAAAATGGAACCTCAGGATCAAGGAAACATATTTTTCTTAGATACAGCAAGAACCCTTATAGGATGTAATATAGAATAAACTGCATAAACTGAAGCATCCTTGTTCAGGAAGTGCTTGAAGAAATCCATAAAGAAATTAGTGACAATGCTATATGATTTGCTATAGATGAAACTACAGACTCATGTGGATGATATGTTGCTTCAATGATAGTAGGAAAACTTAATGGAAAAGATTGCACTAAAATTCATCTTCTTTTATGCAAATTTATGGAGAGGACAAGAGCAGAGGCGATAGCAAGATTTGTTCAGGAAGGTCTAATGTTATTGTGGCAAGATAAATTTCTCCAGAATACTAAAAAAGTGCTCATTGTGCTTTCAGATGGCGCAGCATACATGAAGGATGCTGCACTCATTTTGAAGCCTTTTTTATATAATGTGATTCATGCATTACATCTTTTGGCCGAACAAGTTTGTTTACATTTTAAAGATGTAATTGCCCTCATTTGTTCTGGCAAGAAACTACTTTTGTTGGGTATTTTTGAAACCATACCAGTAATTTTTAGTAATTCAAACACAAATCAATTATTGTATTTATTCAGACACTTGGCAAATCTCATTATTAAATTTTATTCAGTTGATACATGCTCATTGTATTTTTACACATTTCGAGCATTCCTTGCCCTTCTTCAACCAACTAAAATAAAAATTCACAAGTTACAACAGTTTTATAAACAAACAAATAAGGTCATGTTTTCCAAAACACACCTTTTTGATTACAGATTACTGAAAGTTAAAATCATAAAATTTCCATCAAATTACAAATGTTTGTAAGGTTTGTACCTTTAAAACACCTTTACACACACCACTTCTTATTATCTAAAAAATGTTTAAAAACATTTTTTTATATATTTAACTTCATATTATCTAAAGATTTTACATTAATTATCTTGTATACAACTATTTTGATAACAATACTACAAATTACATACCTAGTTATTCATTTTGAATTGTTATAAAATTTAAACAATTTTAAAATTTTTNCGAATCGCGCTCAGTGTGAACTAAGCTTTTTATTTTTAAATATTAAATATTTTTCTGTAAATGTGTCTTCTTGCCGCTTATAGCTTCTTTTTATTTTAATACGAGTAATAAATCAAAACAAATGTTTCCAAGTTATGTTTAACTTGGAACACAGAGAACGCTAACCAAGGATGTATTTATTTATATAGGAGTCCCGGAGCAGACGCAATTGCGGATGCCCTTATAAGGCCCGCACAGACTCTACTATAGTGTTCTTTACTTTAAATTTATACGGTATTTATAAATGTAATCTGCTGTATTTCGTTTCCCGAACCATTCCTTACTTTTCATTCATTTCTCTCTCTTTATTTTTATTAATTTCTTTTGTGGAGGTCCCTGTGCGGGAGTCCATGATGCCTGCCACTAGATTCGGCCCTGCGTCTTACTACAATATGTAAAATTAAATTTATACTAGAACCATAAATATATATGAGGGCAATCCGGAAAGTAATTTCCATTTGGTTATTGAAACATTAATACAGTCAGAAAATTTTATTGTATAGAACTGAAAACTACACATTTTATTTTTCAATATAACCTCTAGTTAAACTGAGATATCTTTTTTTGTTTTTTAAACTCTTTCTACCCTGTGGGCAATAATAGGCACTCTTTTTAGCAAACCCATTATGGGTTCGGCCAGGACCACAATGGGGCAACCGGGTCGTGAGGGACGGGCTGACATATCCGGACGGAGCATCCCCCAAAAATTCCTGGGGATTATTCGACCCGTTCGGATTCGATCCCGGGTCCCCCAGAGCGGTAGGCTGTCGCCTTGACTGCTCGGCCATCCGGCCAACTAAAATACTTGTAGCAATTAACAAGTTTTTGTATTCCATCTTCATAGAATTCTGCCGCCTTGATTGAAACTATGTCCTTATGCTGGACTGCAACTCTGTCATTCTCAAAGCATTATGATGCAAGCCATTTCTTCACATGCATGAAAAGTTTGCAATCGCTAGGCTCAAATCAAGGCTGTAAGGACGGAGATCAAACAATTCCTATTTGAATTGTTGAAGTAGGGCTCGCGGGACATTATGCGGATGGGCATTGTCTTGCAAGAAAACCACCCGAAAGCTCATGCCACGAGGTTTGTTCGGAATGGCTCTCCTTAACTACATAATGTGTAACAATAAATTTCTAAATTGATTGTGTTGCCGCATTTCATAAATTACACTAACAGCACTCCTCCTCTGTTCCAAAAGTCATGCCATGACTTTCCTGGCAGACAGCAATTTTCCGACTTTTTTTTTTTTTTTTTTAAACCGAGTGAAAACGGCCATTGATTGATTGATTTTTGTCTGTTTACGTACGAGACACAAGTCTCATCAATCGTAACGATCTAATACAGAAAAGCATCATCATCTCTTGTAATGAATTTAAATTATTTAAAAAATAGATAAACAAAATTATCAAATTTCCTTCAGTTATCTGTTTTTGTTCCGAAAATAGATTTGAAAACATGATCTTTTTGATCTGATTTCAGATCCAAAACTCTACTTTTATTGATCTGAAAAATCTGGGGTTTAGTGATAACACAAGTTTGTGTTGACCTGATATTTGATATTTCAATACTTAAACTGTTTATTTCCACAGTTATTTATCAATAATCAGACTAAAATATAACTGGCAAGTTTCATTAATTATTAATGAAACTTGCCAGTTATATTTTAGTCTGATTATTTTAGTAATAGTGAATGATATTTGATAACATAACATAATAATTTAATAGAAAGTTAAAATTTTCAATTAAAAATAAAATATAATTATTTACACATTAAAATAAGTTATTTTATAAATGAATATGATTTTCTTTTACACATTTTTATACATTAACTGTTAAAACTGAAACAAATTGAATATTTGTTTTAATAAAATAATATGTGGTATTTTAATTTCCTATTCTTAATATAATTATTTTCTTAGAAATTTAATTTAAACATGTTGATTCTTTACAAATATACTTTCTTGAAATAAAAATGTTCCAGAACATTCTTAAAATATAAAGACATTCAATTAATGGAACATTTTTAAAATGCAGTGTTTATATTCAACTTGAAGAAGATCCAGCTGAAGAATCAAAAATGTTAGTCAATATTAAGATAATAAGTTACTGGAGAATTGTTTAGAAGGTATTACAAAGAAGATTTGGTGTTATACTTCCACTCCAGTATTAATAAGTGAGTGGAACTTAACAGAGTTTTACATAAAACTTAATAAAACTCTCTTAAATAAGAGAGCAAATTTAATGAAAGATTAGATTTGTGGAAGAGGAAAACTTAATGTTTACATCAGGACAATGCAAAGCTACATACAGCCAGAAATTTTGAGAACGAAATTCTTTACTTCTTATTCTGCAGTCATTAAAATACTTAAAATTTAATTATTAATGTAGCTGAAAAATAGCCCAATGTATTATGGTATTGTTCAGCATTGAATGGAGTTTATTTGATTTTCTCCATTTTCTGGACCATCATTTAGTTTTGATATCATATCCAAAGACTCAGCTTTTTTCACCTATAATAATGGATTTCAAAAAAATTGTTGTCTTCTTTAGCATGTTCAAGAAGATCCTAGGCAATTTCCAAGTATTGATGCTTCTGTTCTTGATTTAAGATTTGAGTAACAAATTATTTGGTAACTCTATTGTATCCCCCAAATAGTCAACAATGGCTTGACAAGAACCATAAGAAAAGTTAGTAGCTACTATTATTTCTCACATTGTTATTGTCCAATTTATTTTCATCAAAGTAACAATTTCATTCTTTTTGTCATTGGAAGTGGATGTTGATGGTCTTCTTGATCATGGATCATTTTCAATTGACAAGTAATCATTTTTAAATCTATTGTGCCACTCATAAATCTTTCAACATGTCTTTAAAAATTTTCTTGATCATTTTTTGCACTTGTTTTCCCCTATTAAAGCAAATTTAATGCACCTATGCTGCTTCTTGAAATTGGCAATCTTGCATAATTACAGAATATTAATCATATTTTAAAATTAATAATGGTGTTGTAGGCTGATACCTAATGGAAAAAACTTAAAATTTAGCTCAGCATTAAGAAATGATTAATTTTCTCTACCTTGCAATTTTTAAGTCTGTTGTTCAAATACAGAATAATTTCATAAAAAAGTCTCTGTATTTTTTGATCAGACTTTATAATTTATGAGTTTGATGATTTAATCTATAGTAATAAAATTTAACAATGGAGTAAATTTAACATTATTTGTTGTTTTTAGTTTAAAAGCAAGCTTAAAAATTAAAAAAAACTAAAAATATTGATTTCATTTTTTTTATCCTTTATCTGCTTTGTATCAGAGATAAAGAACTTACATCAAGAAACTCCGAACAAAAAATAACTATTTATTTTTCTATATCAAGCTAAAAACAAAAAATTAATCTACAGTATCTTAGAACTTGAATTATAATATTTTTCAAATTGTTTATGCCTCTGAAAACTTACATCTTCTCCAAATGGATCTTCATTGCCATCTTTTCTTATTGAAAGTTTTGGTAATGGCTCTCCAAAAGCATGACATTCTAGCTTGGCCTCCTTATTTTCAATAACAGTAATATTGTCAAATTTCCTTATTTCAGGTTTAACTATAAAATAATTCATTTTTCTATTAATTTAAATACAACTGAAAGTCACACTTTTATATTTAGAATCTCAAGATATAAATAAATTCAAAGTGAAATAAATTTCAATATAAACTCATTTGAAAATTTATTATTTATATCTTAATGTAATTTTTCTAAAATATTTGAATAAAAATAATGTTTATCTGAGTTAAAATTTTTATTAATAACATCTTCAAATTAATGAGTTACAAACTTAATGATTTGGAATAAGTTATTTCAACAAGTATCTGTAATGTCTTCATTTCAAAATTTTAACAAAGAATTTATAAATCTGGAAAAAATGGTTTAGAACAACCAGTGTTGCCACCTTTTCAAAATTGCTGACCCGGACATTTTAAAATTAGGATGTTATACTTTAAAAACCAGCTTGTCTGGGTGAAAACCGGCCTGGTGGCATACTTAGAAATAAAAAAAATTAGTTTTTTTCATTGTGAGTAGAATTTGTTTTGTCAGCCAATTTTTATTAAATTTACAAGTTCACTTCCTCTTTCGGGTTTTCAATTTCTTCAGTTGTCATATTAAATAATTAAAATAGAAATTATAAACTGAAACTGTCACATTCGCTTTACAATAGGTTTGTTCCAACACAAGTCCCTGACTGGTTTGAATTTGAAACTGTATGACATATATGCAATGCCTTTTTATAACCAAAACCTGAACAATGCGCCTGCCAGTTTTAAACCAGTTAGGGACTTGTGTTGGAACAAACCTAATATTTGCCAGAGATATTTGCAAATTAGAATTTTAAAAGTGCATTTTCTATCACTCTTGGCCTAGGGATAAGTTTGGGTGAGGGTGTGAAGTTAACCTTTAACCGTTAAAATAAAATACTCATAAATATTTTTATAAATTTATTTTGTTTCACCATAATTTCACAATTTCTATGAAAACCAGACAAATTAATAATTAATCTGGACTTTGAATTTAAAAACCAGCTTGTCTGGGTGAAAACCGGCCTGGTGGCAACATTAAGAACAACATACAGTTCAAATATTACTTGGACAAACTCCTTCTAGACAAAATGTTAACTTGAATACGATATAATCATAATAATTTGCTTCCATACCAATTGAAATCATTTTTTTCTTCCAATTGGCTGAAAATGCATAATTATATGATTATTATACAGTGGTATCACATGATAAGCACTGCAAAATTGCAGCACCACAAATAAAACAGAAACAAAAATTAATGTCTCAATTTTTATTCATATTAATTACATAAATTATTATAAATAATTAAAAGTAATGTATTTAACAAAAACTAGTGCTATCAAACAGTTTACAAAATAAAAACAACTCATTAGGGCAGTTGTGGGTCAGATTCCCTCCTGCAAGAGCACTGTTAAACAGTGCAGTGTCATCTCCCACACTTCCCATTCAGATAATAGTTCTTCTCATTCAGCCACTACATCTCATGATTTAATAAAATGCTTGCAATAGCATTACACCATTTAGCAGTGTTGCAAGCAGTGTGGCTATATGGCAGAAATTACTGTAGTTATTAAGTCAGAGCAGTGGTGGAGAATATTCCATGACCAGTAAATATTAATATGAAAAAGACAAAAATGTTGAATCTCAATTCTTAAATGAATTTTAATTAATTAAATTAAAAATATATATTGTTTATTATGTAAAATAATAGTTGTGACTCAACAGTAATATAGCCATGAAGAAGCTGAGGCCCCCTTACCTTTGTAAATAAATAAAATAAAAAAATCAGGAATGTAAATAAATAGTATAGAAAAAATTTAAATGTGTCAAACACACATACAAAAATTCACTCTTCACCCACAGTATTAGTGACTGATCCAGAATGTTACAGAGGTAAATGTAAGTTTGCATGTTCTAACTTAGATACTGTAATATCAGTTCTAGTATACTATTGTTATTCATCATACTGATATTAGGCAGCATGAGCTGCTATTTTTATTGCATCTAAAAATATATTGTATAGTGAAATTTGTAAATTAGAATGTTGATTAAACTCTAAGTACTTTGCTTTCTTTGACTTTCAAATGATTTAATATAAATTAAATCATTTACATGTCAAGAAACATTAGCAGAATTATATCATAATTTTATGAGATAATTTTGGAAAATGACAATAAATCAACCCTTAGTAACAAATTTTGCTAATCATTAACAATTTTACTAATAAAATTATATCTAAATTTCATACAAGAAATCAAGCCCAGGAGTAAAGGATTAAAATCAGCTGATGCCATGAAAGCCATGGGCATGTACTCATTTCCAGTCTGCCTGACAACTACCCAGTATGGTTATATCTTCTAAATAATTGGTCTAGAAATGAAGATTGGATAGAGTTTCAACTAGTAATTAGCAATGTGCAACTGCATGGTAAACAGGTGTGGGGGTTCAAGTCCAGCTCTGGACTGATCTTTGCAAAGTATTCTAAATTAATTTAATTCTAATTGTTCAATTTAATAAAAGATGGTGATTTAATTACCTACTTTTAGTCCAAATTACATATCATCTGTATAATTTAATTAGCAAAAATATAGCCTGATAATAAATCTAGCTTAAATATTTGATTATCTAAATTTGCATAATTTTATTGAACTTGGATGATTTGAACAGATATAGTAGAGTACCAATTATCCAAAAAATTGAATAATTAAAATTTAATTCAAGGAGTGATAATTCCAGAAATTATGAAGTTTTTACATAATAATAATTGTTAGCAATCTTCTGTGGGCCTGATTTTGTGCTATTTGTCATCAACATTAGTGTTAGGTTTCATTTATTACAGTACAAATACAAAAGCATGATTAATGAGTCACAGGCTTCTAATCTATCAAATACTTCATTGTGTATAGGCAAAGTGAAGTATTTGATGGATTAGAAACAGCATTGACATAGAAATGCAACCTGAATCAGATTTTTCAACTCTTGTGACAGTTAAGCATGTCAAGGATTTAACAGAATTAAAAAGAAAAAACTAACAAGTAAGTAAAAAAAAGCAAGCTAAGTGACTTCTTTAAAAAAAGAACTGTAATAAATACCTTTTATGTGAATATTATATTTTACTTAATCTTAATTATACTATTATATATTTTTTTACTTTAAATTCAGTTTTGTCAGCACATTGTAGATTGCAATGAAATAATCTTTCTGAAGTGGTTTTTGTTTTTTTATTGTTTTCTGTACTTTGATTTTATAAATTAGACAATTTTTTCATTATTTCTTAGCATTCATGTGTATTAAATTTCTATGCCTTAACCAGTTTTACTGTTGTGCCAGAATTAAAATTAATATTTTTACTTTGTTTAAGATATTTATCACCTTTTATTCTTTCCTTACCAAGTGTGATTGATTATCCAAACAAATTGGTTATTCAAAATTATCATACCCCAATTATTTTGGATAATTGATGTTCTACTGTACAGTACTTGTTTATATTTGGCTACAATAGTATAAATCCAACATTATTAAAAGCTTATATAATAATACAAATTGAAATTTTTATCCATTATATTTATTAAAAACACAAATAATTTCATCATAAATTACTATATGTCCACTATTTTTTGTCAATTAATTCATTTATTATACATACCTACAACAATAAGATGAAGAATTTTAGAAGCAGTTCCAGCATCATTTTTAGCTTCACAAGTGTAATTACCAGAATCTTCTTTTTTCACACTTCGAATTGTTAAAACACCTGTTTCTTTTCCAACAAAATATCCTTCCTTGTTGCTTAAATCTTGCAATTTCTATAAATATTTTATAAATAATGCATAATTTTTATTGGAATGTGAAGGCATAATAGTTCATATAATACTGATTAAATTTACAAGTAAGAAAGCTTTGAACTTTATGTTTAAAGAGAAATAATTAAGAGAACTGATTGAAAAGTAATGAGAAATAATTTTATTACAATCAAATTACTCAAAATTGTTCCATTTTAATGCTAATTCCCTGTACAGTAAACTCTTCTGACATAATGCATTTATTTCATCTTTTTTTTCCATGCCTCATAGCATCTCATTTTCAATGAGCTGTTGTACAACATCAGTTACAGCTTATTCTTGGTGGTTTCAAAATAATGATGTTTGACTTCTAATGAGAACTTCTAATTGTCATTCATTGATCTTGAAGAATGACATACTGTAAATGTTCAACATTATCACTTAAAGTTGAAGATGAAAGACATCTTGATCCTGACTCATCACTCATCAGTTCTCACCTTTCTGAAAGAATTTTATGTCAGCAAGCTCATGAGAGAACTTTACTACCATACACAGTTTTTATTGCATCCTAAGTTTCAGTTGCATTCATTTTTAACTTCATATAAAATTTCACTGAACATCATTGTTTAATATTTTTTTCTATTCTTCTAACAACTACTCAAAACATGTCCTAAATATTCAATAATACTTATGTAGACATGAGAAGATAAAAATCTGCTCTAACTGTTAAGGAAAGATTACACAACGGACTTTTAGGTAAATGAATGTTATAATGCTGCCATAATACACAATACATATTTAGTATACACATTACTTTTCAACCAGATCTTGTATTCTTATAAAAAAATTAAATATAATTTGTATGTTTTGACAAATTTATTAATTCACAATCTAAATTATGATAATTATATAAATTTGAAGTTAAATTACATTTGCATAATAACTTGCAAATACAGTGGGTGATCGGTTAATGAACAGTTCGGATAGCAAACAAATCAGATAACGAACACTTTCTCGAAAGATTTTTATGATTGAACAATGAACACATGTTCGGATAACGAACACTTTACTGAACAAACATAAAACGAAGGGATGGAAAATAACAAATACTGACTGATTTTCCCTTGTCTTCAGGTAACAATTCAAAACCTTTCGGAGAGCGGGAGATGTCAACATCAATGCCCAACCTGATACCGATCAGATAGTATTAATATTCCTCTGAATTTTGAAACTCTCCCTTGTAATTCCAGCTTTTTGTTTACCTTTCTGACAAATAATTTTTTATAGTACAGTAGAGCATCGATTATCCGACTCAATTGGAGACTCAGGTTGGTCGGATAACTGAAAAAATCAGATAACCGAAAAGAATGAAAAAAATACATTATTAGTATAGTATATTAGTATATCCCATGTAANAATATATATACCCTGTATAAGCATTAAGTAACAGCTGAACAGCCAAGTCCTTGCCAAACACACTAGTTCTTGTTAGACCATCGCAGTTAAGTACCATAGAGCCTGGATAATACATTGATCTGAGATGGCAGAGGATATAAGATATTTGATTTTCCCTACAAAGAGTTTAGTGGCTCTGGCCAATTCAAAGTTTGGATAGGAGGATAGAGAGATTTGTTGTCGGCAAAGTCCAATAAAAAAATGTAGAATATTAAAAAGTATATTTAAGTGTGCTTATTACTACTGTTAAATATATACAATATACAGTGGGATCAGTTAACGAACAGTTTGAACTACAAACAAATCAGATAACGAACACTTTCACAAAAGATTTTTATGTTCGGACAACGAATGCCTCACAGAACAAACGCAAGAAACAGCGACGTAAAATAATGAATACCAATTGTCTTTGGGCAACAATTCGAAACTTCTCAGAGCGCAGGAAACGTTAACATTGATGCTCAACCCAGTATATACTGATTGGATAGTATTCCTCCAAACTTTGAAACTCTCCCTTGTAATTTCAGCCTTTTATTTTTCTGACAGAAACAATTCTTTTATAGTAATTGCGAGACTATCGGGTGGGCACTTGTTAAGTTTTGCGTCGGATTTTATTTTCGAAAGGTGAGAGTATAACAACAAAAGTAGAGAGTGGGCAGAAGATTTCTGATGTTGCTGGGCCGTATGGCTTGAACAGGTCTGCAGTAGGCCACAGTTCAATCTTATCTAAGAAATATATAGCATAATCAAGAAGACTCAAGCAGCTAAAGGAGTAACAAAAATCACATCTGAGAAATAAAGAACATTGAAGTGCTCATAATGGAACCTGAAACAGATCTGATGACAGAAGAATGCTAAGAACTCTTGAATGAAGAACACCAAGAAACTTGCCAAGGTATGTTTTCTTCTGAAAAAGAGGATTCATGCCGATATCTGCTATTAAAGATCTTTTGAAGTGGGAAGATGTCAGAACAACGGTCTTAGAATGGCATCCAAACCAAGTTGAGGTTAATAGGCTTTGGGATCGCTACAATTACAATGCTATTAATTACTTCTGAAAAATCCTGAAGAGAAAAAAGCAATCGACGTTAGACAGATTGTTTAACACCCACAAATGGAAAAACATTAATAAAAATGCAAAACTATGTATGAGCAGTATGTATTTTCATTATTACATATAAATACTGTATACTTTCTTACTATATGTATATTTTTTAGAGTTTCCAAAACAAATTGATCAAATTCCCATAAAAACCTATGATAAGTCGATAATCGGTTAACGAACAAGTCAGATAACAAACAAAGTCTTGGAACAGATTATGTTCGTTAACTGGTCACCCACTGTACTTTCAGACTACTTATTTGAAATATTTTAATAAAATGTGTTTAACTTTCTTAATAATGACTTAAACATTTTGGTACATCAGTTTTTCAAAATTGTCACAAGTTCGGGCTTGAAACATCAATGAACTGACTAGTTTAATTTGTCATTAGGAAATAAATAAACTAGAATACAAAAAATAAAAATAAGTTTGAAATTTGAAATAAGAAAATAAAAAAGATAAATATAATATAAATTTAAACTTAAAAATTTAAACAACAGAACTCAAATTTATATAAAATAACAAATACAAATTAGTTTTTCTTTAAGTAATTAAATTAAGAATCTTTTCCTGTTTACTGGTAGAATATATATATATAGCTGTCAATATAATGTCTTTAACAAAATGGAAAAAGCCAGGTTATATTCCAAAAACAATTGATAAAATATTAAAATAACATGTAAAAGTTTTGAAAAGGTTACTAAGTTTATCAACAAATATAATATTTATGACATGCAGATTTATATGCTGCTACATACAAAGTAACCATTTATTAATAAATGTGTTTATTAGTGTTGCAATGAATAGTATATTCGGCCAGGAGCGTGGCCAAATAGCCGAATATTCGGCCAAACTATTTGGCTTGATTGACGCATGTAAGAAAATTGGCGCGCAAACCACATTATGACAAGGACCCTGATCTCTGTTGGCCCACTGTCACTACATTTTGCCAATCATGTTAATTCTTGACAGTTGTAGCGGACAGACAAGAGCGTCATGGCAATATGTGATAAATGATGATATCAAATGTGGATAACAATGAAATGACCTACATGTGTAAATAACAGAAAAAAGAACAGAGAAGAACCGTGAAATGAAAATGTAAAAATAAATATGAAATTCAGTTGATAACATAATTGAACAAGTCGAGGCAGCTTATTGGCGAGAAAATTCCCGGCCATCAATGCCAAACAATTGTTGTCAAAAACTTCGGAAGCTAAATGCTTGTAATGAAAGTCACTTAGAGTGCACGGGCGAAAGCCTGGGGCCGTTTGGGCTACCAAGCTGTCTTGAATCTGTGAAATCATAACTGTGACTTAATTCGACGTCCTATCTGTCTCTTTTCTCTGTTATCACCAGGTTATGAGTCACGTAATTGTAAAATGGAAAATCTACAATGGAAAAATGATGAATCGAAAGTATTGTGAGTGCATATTATGATGTATGCATAGGCATACGTGAACTAGAGCGATAGAGGAAAGAGAAAGGAAAGAGCAAAGACGAGCACTTAAAAAAAAGGATAGGCAGGGTCAGACCCTCAGCTGTGCGACGATTCTCAAACGAATAGGTGTGTACGTGTGCTGATCTTTGTAATTATAAATTGTGAATACATGTGACTAATATTATTTTCTTTTTTATTTTGTGCATGTTATAAGTTATAAATAAATATAAACAAACAACACTAACCTGATAACATTAAATCTAAATACCAAAATGATTAATTTACTGTGTTTTTGTTATTTCTTACTCCTGTTTTTAGGTATTCGGT